GTTGTCACCTGGGAAGGTTCTCTTTGGTCAGTGAATTTTTTCGTAAAAAGTTTTGCTCCAACCTCATTCTTTTTGTGATTTTTTCACATTTTGTAATATGCCACAGAAACTGCTTCAGGACAGCACTATGGGAAAAACTCAAGTGTCGTTGTAGTTTCCTCATTTCAAAAGGGGAAAATCTTGATTGATGACAAACCTCGTTCTGGACATGTCAACTTCCCAGACAAAAATGTTGACAACATTTGTGCACTTGTACTTAAAGACTTATACTCTTCAGACCATTGAAGAGATGGGGAAATTATACAAACTATCTTGGAGCTTGGTTCAGCAAATTTTAACAGGAGATTTTGGAAGGAGAAGAATCTTTCCGAAATTTGTGCTTCTGGGTTCTGACTGACCAGCAGAAAGAACATTGAGTGGAAACACGCTGTGCTTTGAAAGAACAGCTCCAAAGCAACCCAGATTATGTTCCCAGGGTCATTACTGGTGACGAGACATGGTGCTATTCTGACGACCTCAAAAGCAAACACCGATCCAGCCACTGGAAGAAGCCATCGTCACCTCGCCCAAAAGAAGCTCGTCAAGGAAATCTAAGATCAAGACGATGCTCAATTGTTTTTGATGTGCGGGACAGTGCATTTGGAGTTCATTACGCCAGGCCAGCCTGCTAATCAAGCTTTCTATTTAGAGGTTCTGAAAAGACTGTGTAATGGTGTGCAACAAAAAAGGCCCAATTTATGGCAAATGGGGACTGGGTTTACCACCATGACAATGCCCCTGCTCACGCAGCCATCTCAGTTTTGTTTTTTTGGCAAAAAACAGCATGCCTTTCTTGCCCCACACACCTTAACTCACCTGACCTCGCTCCGGGTGCCTTCTTTATGTTTCCATGAATGCAGAGGGACATGAAAGGACAGTGTTTTGACCATGTAGAAGAGTGAAGACGAAAATGAGGGAGCTGCTGTTGGCCATCCAAACAGATGAGTTTGAAAAATGTTTCCAAGAATGGAATCACAGATTTGACAAATACATGAAGTGCAATGGAGAGTACTTTGAAGGTGTTAAGGTTTTTTGTAAATTCATTTAAATAGACAGCTTTCGGGAAAAAAGTTTTTCCAGGGGTATGCCCTCATAAATGAGTTCTTAGTGCTAAGATCTCAAAAACTGTAAAACCTTGTTTCAGTTAGCTACTGCTGCCTAACAAATCACACAGCAATATAATGGCTTAAAATAGCCATTTCTTAACTCAGACTTCTGCACTTTGGCCAAGGCCAGGATATGGGGGTGGGGTCCAGGACTCTTGGTGGGATCACCTCTAGTCTGTGTGGTCAGCTAAGAGCTGGGCTGTGGCCAGATAAGGACACGGCACTCAGGTCTGGCTGGAATCACTGGGGACAGGGGGCTGGGCCTCTCCACCTCTCCCACAAAGGGACAGTTGGACCTCTTTCTATACAGCAGCTGGGCTGCTGGGAGGAAGAACATGGGAGCTTCCAGGCCCCTAAAGGCTCCCAAGGGTAGAGTAGTCACTTCTGCCGATTCTATTGGCTGAAACACATCACAGGGCCAGCCTACATCCAAGGGGAGAGGAAGGAGATTCTCACCTTTGGGAGAAACAAGAATTTTGGGGTTCAGCAGCCACTTTAGTGCTGCAAGAAAACTTCCTCATGGGTCTTCCTGCTTCAATTCCCTGTAGTAGGTTGTCCAAGCAACAGTCACAGGAACCCTTCAAACACACAGCTAACGCTACTCCCTTCCACTGTTTACAGTTCTTCTACAACCGGAACCTTAGAGCAGGGGTCCCTAAATTTTTTAAACAGGGTGCCAGTTCACTATCCGTCGGATTGTTGGAGGGCCGGACTATAGTTTAAAAAAAAAACTAAACAAATTCCTATGCACACTGGACGAGTTGGCTGCTAAGCAGGACAGGCAG